TCAACTGAAGTTGGAGATCGCGAATTTAGCGCACATCCGAATACTCGCGAATTCCGCGATTAATACATTCAAGATGTCTTCATATTGTGGCAGGAGATTCATTTGCCCTCGATATCAAAGACCCATTTTTTTCATAAAAAAATATTTGTTTAGACCCCGGGGTTGAGGGCGAAATATTTTTTATTTTAATTAACTTTTTTTCTCTCTTTGAAAATTTTAAAATGTCTTTTTAAGAGGAAAATTCATGAAATTATAATATCGGGCATTTAATATATTTTCCCAGAACTCAAAACAGCTCGATTTATATTTAAAAAATATATTACTGATTATATTATATATTTTAAAATAATCAATTGTATAAATTATATTTATCCGTACGAGATATATTCCGTAGATACCATATCCATGGAATATATTAAACGAAAAATCTAGTAGGCAATATATTAATATATTATTATAACAGAAATATATTTTTTTGCGTGAGGCAAAATGAGTCTGGAGACGAGTACTCACTTCTACAATCACAAGAGATCCAAAAAAAAAATCACTCTTTCCCATTTCATGGGCCTTCAGCATGTAATGAATGAAGAGATTAATTTGACCAGTTCGTGCGGAACGTCAGATGAAACTATCATCATGCCGACAGTCTGAAAAAAAAATCAGGGAAAGGGTAAGGCAAAAAAAAAACTGAGGAAAACTAATCCTTTCCGGGCATTTTCCATAGATTCGCTGACATTTTTCTCCGTCATTCGCCATCACTTTTTCCGAAATATATAGACATACATTTCTCGAGGATTTTTTCACGGCAATAACGTAAATCCGATCACTCCAGTGCTTCAATTCAAGTGAAGGGATCAACTCATTTTTTTTTTTTCACCTCCTCACTGAATTTTTCTTTCTTTCCATTAATGGAGAACTGCTAACGGGCTCTGAGATTTTGACATTCCGGATTGTGACTCGGTGAATCTTCGTCTCTTGTGGGCTTTTACGGTAAAACCCGGGGAAAATGTCGGCCAATCCTGTTTAGTTCTCACAAGATCTCAACTGAATTTTCGAGCTTTCTCGGAATGTCTCAATTTGGGGGATTTTCTTTGTAATTTTATTTCGAATGCGTTCGTATATTTTCGAGAAAATTCCGTCTCACTGTTTACTAAATTGTTTTTTCTTAGATTCAAGTAAAAATTCGGGGATCTTGTACTAAATTTCCCACACGGAAGAATATATATTTTTATCTATTCATTTTTTATTTTTATTATTATATAATAATATATATTTATATAATATAAAAAATTTATTTTAGAGTTTAAGAAAATTGCTAAGAGAATTGGTTTTGAATGAATTTAATTCTGTCAAGTAAATTTCCTTGTCAGAATTATTACTCGGGTTTTATTTTTCCGTGGGCAGTTGTCCGTGATGCGAGGAAAAAGAGGGGTGTCGAAAAAAATTGGATTGAGTGGCTGTAAGGACCTCGATTAGGGCTAATGAGTCAAGAGAATTCAGGATCAAATAAAAAATTACAGAGAGTTCATTACGCAAAGCTGAATTAACACAGGGGTAAAGAAGTTCGATGGTTTTTGCGGGAAAAAATTCGACAGGACTAAATTAATCCGATTGTCCTGTGTCCAATGGTTTTCCCTCCATCTAGATTCTCTTAAACAAAACTATGTCATCCCAAAAAAAAATATTTAATGGAGGTTTAGTAGTAATTCGTAGAGAAGAAATGACGGAATTTCAAGTTTCATTGAAAGTTCAATAAAAATGGGAATTCCCGAATTTACCGGATTTTTCAATTAGATTGAAAAGTCCAGAATTTTAAAAGTCCGCAATGGAAATAATGTCGAAATTCTTCATACTCAAAAATTTGAAAGGTCGGAACTGTGACGTCAGTCGAAAATTAAAGTGTTCTATTTTCAGGGGAATAAAAGTGAGGTGATCGCTCGTTGGAATCAATATTTCTAAAAATATCGTGTATAATATTCTTTTGTATCTAGATGACATGAATAAAATGCGTGATATCTTATTCATTGGAAATATTGACTGGGAATCGAATGCTGTATGTGTTCTAGATTTTTTCAGAGAATTTCCACGTCTCACGAGAAATTTTGAGATTGACAACGATATTTATTGAATATTTAATGTAAAAAATTGGAAATAAAAAAAAGTTTGTACGAAATTTCTCCTTTTTTAATTTCTCCTTTCTAATGTTCCATAATTCCTTTTAATTCCCAGTCATTTCTAATCTGCAGATCGACAAGACAATAAAAATAATTGAAAAGTCCGGAACTGGTAGGTAATTTTACCCGAATAAATAAAATCTCAGAGAAAATTCTCGACTTGTTACGTCTGAAAAATAAAAAATTCATGAACGTTCAACAATTTCGATGGATTGGTGTGCTGTTTACGTTTTGCCCGGTAGAATTTTCCAATCATTGGAGAAAAATGCCGGAATGATTTCCGTCAATAGACGGACAGTCATGAGACTGATGATTAATTTTTACTGTAGAGATGGTAGAATTCACGTGAAAATTCGTACAATTTCTATTCCAACTCCCACTTTTTATCGAACTCCACTCTGGTAAATTACAGCTGCACGTCATTTTTCTCTTCTTTCCTCCCAATTTTCGTTATATTTTCCCGAGTTTTCCTGCCCGTCTAGACTGAGAATGAAATAAATTTCTAATGGTCGATTAACAATTTTCTCATGTCACCGAAGGAGTAATTAAAATTTCTAACGAATTCCTCTTCCCATCCCCGACTTTCCCGTAAATTACTCCAGCACTATTAATGACTCATCTGTACATGTACATGAACCTCTCATAAACGCAGGATCGATTTACCATCATATGAGCTCCACACTAACATCTAGTTCAGATCCAGCACAATTCAACAAAAGACGGCATTTCCATTGTGGACATTGTAATACGCATTGATTAGCCTCAAATCGAAAAACAAACTGGGCCAATGTGAAATCTATTGGAAATTTAACCGCTGGTATTACATTTAACCATGAAAATGTTTGCCCGCTGTCAATAAAAATTATTCCAAAAGTGTCACGAATATTGAAACAACAGTAATCCAGTTTCACAAGTACTGACGAATTTTCAATAACAATATGCGCATCTGGCGATGTTTGCAGGTGTTTTGTTGGGAAAAAAAAAATCATTGCGGGAAATATTTACTTTATTCACTGCGTTGTGGAGTTTTCCGTTTCAACGAGTTCGGAGTGCTTTTTTTTTTATTCGTAAAAACGTTTCTGGCGAGCTAACGAATCCTTCTGTCCGCCGCGATAAAATGCAATTAGTTTTGGTATGTTAAGAATAATATATTCGAGACGTGACTCAGCAACTCGGAATGACGGATTCGAAATTGGATTTCTCCGCAATTGTTCGGAGGATTTAGTGAAGCCAAGGCAGGATTAATCCGCGTGGAATAAAATTTAGGTCTTGGAAATATGGGATGCCAAATTATCTTTTTGTAGATTCTGCACTTCGACATTTTTTAGTTAGATAAAAAATCGGATGAACGTTCAGAAATTCGGGAGATCGATTAAAAATCTATACATCCAATACTCTGTGTGAAAATTCATATTTTTATGGTAATTGAACTTTGAAATATGAATTTTCTAACAAATTATACTATTTGTTTATAAAGAAAATGATAATCCTTTCGATTGGAAAATTTCATGGGAGTTTCGGTGAAATACTCATTGAATATTCAAGAAATAAATTGATTTCTTGATAGAAATTCGACAGGAACTTTCTGTCAATCGGTGAATTTATTATAATAATAATAAAATTTTGTCGAGTTAATATCCAATGATAATATCCTGATAACGCAATCTCTCTCCAACGAAAATCTTCTCATCAACCGACTAATGAAAGCAATCATGAAAATTACGGTAATTCGTCATGAGCGGAGGTTACCCCATTTAAACGAAACAGCAATGATATCTAATACGTCGTGCAAAGTAGTTGCAAAGAAGCAACTGAAATAGCGTCCCAGAAATCACGAACATCGCATTCACTTAAGAGCCCTTCTGTAAAAAATTACAATCACGTTGGCAAGTTGAAATGAGTATCAAATATTTGCTCGCTACTTTACCAGGTGTACCAGAAGTGGGGAATAAAAAATAAATAAAATAAATAAAGTTGAATCTTGAAGAAATGGGAAGATACAGAAAAATTCTCAAAGGTCGAAATGCACTTGTAGATTACACCAGGAAAAACATAAGACAGCATCTTGTTTCATGCTCTCGTGCCAAAGGTTAAGTACATATTTGATTTATGAAATGATAAACATTGCCCAGAAATATGGAAACCAGAGGTTATTCGGTGGAACTACGTTGAGTACTTTCTCGGAGTACTTTACCTCAGAAATAACTATTTCTGATGTCAGCTACGGTACGAGTAATTGTGTCATTAACTGGATAACCTCAATAGAATTGCCGGGTCAGTTCTAGGTATATGGCAGCTGTACATCAGACAACTTTTTGAAAGTTGGAATAATACAAGCCCCAAGGGTAACAAGTATGGCTCATGTTCGTTAAAAATAGCAACGTCACGTTTTTTTTTTCAATTACTTTTTGCCAACAAGGGATGGATACGGCCTGAGGCTATCGCAAGCCTTCAGAATATTAAAGTTTATTTATCAAATAGATTTATCAACTTCTCAACTTCGTACTTCAAAATCACTTCAAAATGGTGAACAGCGAAAAAAGTACTGTGCGATATCAATCGGTACGAAATAAATGAATGAATAAATGAAATTACGAGGAATCATTCGACTTTAATTATTTAATCATTAATAATTAGCTAATAATTAGTATAACGTATAGGTGAAGTAAATATATTAATATATTAATATACATATTCAAATATTATCATTGATATTACGATACTTGGATCAAGTATTAAATATATTTGATCCAAGTACACATAATTTTTCGTTTGCGTTTTACATTTTAGCAATTTTTGTAATGACAGAAAGAATTTTAACTCTACCTTGGAATTCTGTCATAGCTGTCCCAACTAGTCAGACAATTGTAACTGCTGTATCTACTAGAGCTCGCCATAGCTTCTCCACAGCGATTATACCATGTTTAAACTGTCAATTACCAAGTACACTTGTCGATTTAACAAATTCCGGGGTATTAACCATTAATTCACTGGCTAAAAATTCGATCCACACGTCAGTATCTCCGATGTCAATACTATATCCATCAACTACCCCTTATAAATAAACATTTTACCGGCGACACTTTGATGATTAATTCTTTATCGATCAACGGCCACTCAACTATTTATACCACATACTGGGGTGGGGAAAAGAGGGAGGGGAGGGATAAACACTCATAAAAAATACACATTAGAACTTGCACTTAGGTTTGGGTACTAAGCCACTAGGTTTGGACCACGTAACTATTTATTGAATTACTTGAACCTCTCGCTTGTTCAATTTGGACCATCGATTACACATTATCATATGAAATGACGCTTTATCCGCGTTTATAGGAAATATATCATTAAAATAGTTCTACGTTTTTGGACCCGCCAACCAGCATTCGTCGATAATTTATAAATACCTCCACTCATTATTAATTTTAATCCATTGTGTACCGATTTAATTAAATACTAGGAGTTGGTCAAATTTTCGTAACGAATAGCTTCGAAATACTTCAGTAATAGACTATCATTTATTAAAGACATAACTTTACACATTAATCACTATTTTTGGTCTTGGAACTTTTAAACTTGAAAATACTTCACGCTCTATCTGATCTTTCACGGACGTCACTCATTGTTTCGATCAGATCATCAATCGTTTCATTTGTGTCCGCAGCAGTCAAGATTTTTGGAATATTAATATCTATTTTATTGGTCGATGTGTACCGAAGTATTAATTGATTTTTCATCTACGCTTCGATGATGAAATTTCATAATGGAAACTCAAAAAGACTTTCATAAGTCGTGGATTCAAAAAACTCATCACCCTGTCGTCCTCAATGCGTTGACGTTTATTTATTTATTGATTTGTTTGTTAATTTTCAATCGTTTAACCACCGGCGCTCGTTAGACTGAGTCAAGACGAATCCCTCATAAATTGTTATCATGAACTTTGTCTACAAGGAGATGAAAACAAAAAAAGAAGAACGGTAAAAACCCCCCGGGAAAAATCTCTTTTCCTTCACAACCCCGAGTTCATCTGGATTTCATCATCATTCCCCCGAATTATCCGTTGAAAATTCGATAAACAATCCACAACATTCCGTTAAACATCTGAATATTCCCTCAAATAATTAATCATCACTACACGTTGTACCTCGATCTAACAACTTTAGTATCACATTAACAACAATAGGTGTTAAAAAAATAAATGATTTGTATTTGAAGTGTCTGTTCTTAATCCGTTTCTTCCGTCTAGCGCTGTATTTTACAAACACTTTGGTTGTTATTATTTTGATGATCTTGAGTGTCAACAAATGATACGCAATGATAATGTAATTTTTGTCATGAGACACCGGCACTTTCGCTTCAGAAATAGCATTTCCATGGATTTTTGGGTGTACTTTTACACATAAAATATTATTTGTGGGGTAATTAATAATGACAACAGTTTATCCATTTATTTAGCGGATATTTCATTTGCGCGGGGTTGACGATGAAGCCGTGACTCTTGACAGATTCGAAATGAGGTGGTGCCGACTATCGGTATCACCACCAGGTTAAAATGATAACGGGGCAGACTCACGCGCAAACTCATAGTATTTCTTTGGTCAGCGGTGGGGGAATTCGCCGGATAAACAATAACTCGGGGGGGGTTGATGAAAAATAATAAATTGTCCGGTGCTCGTTGACCTCGCTAACGAAAAATCTACACGTTCTACGTTTTATAACCCTTTAACTTTTTAAATTACCGCGTTTTGTTGGGGGACGAGCCATCTGCCGTGAATTGTGATTTTTTAACGATATTGCACAACGTATTAATGGTTTTTTATATTTTCCAGGAAAAAGTTGGCGATCTCGTGGATTTCTAGTCGAGATTTTGCACAGATACTATTGTTTACGCTAGATTTATTTATTTTTTTTTCTTTTTCGGTCATTTATTTAGCACTGGTGAATCTATCTAAATATTTGGATTCTATTTGGGGATTTTCTTTTTCCGGATCGATAGGAAATTTATTTGGCGAGCCATTTTTATTTTCAATGCTAAAAGTGATGAGATATATTGAGTTAAAGAATGATATTAATAAAATTGGGGGAAATAGAAAAATAAGAAAAAAACATATGCATCTAGCAATCATAAAAAAATATTAATTGAATTATGTATAATTATGGATTCAAATAATTTTCTTCTGTTTTGTATTTTTAAAAATTCTACTAGTTTTTTTGGATGTAAAATATCTTCAGTTTTAATGTTCATAAAAACGAATTATTTATTGCAAAAAAATGGATTTGTTTAGAATCTTAGAGTTCTATCGATCTCGCGAAAGATTTGTTAGTAAGTTTTTAATAAATTTTATTTTTAAGGATAAATCCATGGAATTGTGGGATTAAAGATTTTAATTGTTTTATTTCGACATTTATGCGTAAATGATACGGTTGAATAATTGCAATTCTGAATTGAGTTTTGGCATGATTTAATTGTGGAGTTGACTCTTGAAATGAGTGATTTCATGTCCGGTAGATGGAATATTAATTGAATCGACTACTTGGTAAACTGAAACATTTTGAATAAAGGTGTCACACCGTGATACATCGGTAATGACGCGCGCAGATTTGTCGACGAGACTTACCGACGGGTGATCAATGATGAAATTAATATAAAATAATAATAATTAATTGTAGCAGTAGAATTTAGGAGGGACTGACTCGCGCTTGATTGACTGAATGCCATTTTGTAATTCAATAAAAAAGTTTCGGGAGAAAAATTGATTTTCTTCCGGAGATTTTCCCGTTTTACTTCCGAGCTACTGATTCTGCGCTCTCTCCGAATTACGAAATAAATGTTTTTTAAATTCAGGGATCATCCGACGCTCCGCGAATTCTCAAAATCATACGCAAAGAGAATTTTTTAAAAGACAATTTCGAAATGAATAATATTTTCTAAATTAAAGATCGGAGATTACAAGAAATTATTCAAGAAAACTATTTCTCCGATTCATTGAATTTCAATTTAACGCACATCCTTAATAAAAAAAGATGAATAAAGTACAAATGTTTATTTAAAACAAACAAGTTTTTTTATAGTTCAATCTATAAAATTTGAATTTCAACACTTTAAATAAATAAATAAAAAAAAGGATCAAAAGGAAATGTCACCATCACAATTTCCGTCTAGACCGAAATAATTCCGGCTTTCTCCTTAAAAAATGAGGAAAAGTGACAGGTCCTCCGCGGCATCAAGATCAATAACTCCCGCATGACGAGTAACACCGAATAGCACTAAAAAAAGCTCAAAAACAATGAAGAAGAGGCTGAAAAAAAGGGAGGCGAGAAAAATTGGAAGAGAAAGGAATCGAACAAAGAAGTAAGTGTCCCAATTTGTGACAGCCCAGTGAATCCTGAAAATGTCACAAAATGGGAGAAGTTGGGACAGCCCTGGGATGAAGGTATTTGAATCTGGTGTATAGGCTAGATTCACAATTCAAGGCTTTGTAATCGGGTCTCACATGTACTGAGCCCTGCAATAGCTATCCGACTATGCACGTTCGAGGAGAATCACAATGGATGAACCCCCTGTACTCGAAATCGTCCTGTACCAATAACAAGACGATAATTGGCAGGTAATCAGAATGCCTCGGATGCGGAAGTCAGTTTCGAGTGGAGCCAGTCCAGATTTTCGAGTGATTGTACTGACCCCATTGGTGTTTACCCTTTTCGTCCTGAGGACCAGGTCATGCAATTGAATTATGGAGTATATCGGATTTGTTGGGTTAATAATAATAATTGAGGATCCATTATATCCCAACTGGAAAATTTTTAACAATAATTTTTAAAATAAATTAGTGAGGATAAGTTGAGAACTTGTGGTGATCTTGTGTTTACACATTTCGTCCTGAAGAGCAAGTGGTGCAGTTGAATTATATAATTAAATTCAAATTTTAATATTTAATAATAATAATCGATTGATTAATGGTTGTCGTTATGGAATGTAAATTATAATAAATTATTTAACTCCAATAAATCATTCTGGCTTAACTGGATATTATTGAACAGTAAATATTGGTTCAGACATAATAAATTTCCTGATGAATACAGAATCAATAGCTCTGAACGCTGGTCAATTGAGAATAAAAGAAAATGGTTGAGCAGGAATTACTGGAATACCCGTTGCACCCATAAAACTACAAGCGAATTAAGTTCTAGAAGTGAAGTTGAGAGAAAAGTTGAAACAAGGAAGAAAAATAATGAAACAGTTGCAGCAGAAATTTCCAGTAACTTAAATCAGGACTATGTGGATTGATAAAAATAAGAGGATGGATGGAAGTTTGTCTATTATCTCTTCTGGGTTTTCATCGGTGAAGTGCCTCGAAGTCTATCTTTCGCGCTCAAGTGCATAATCGACTTGGTAAACTCGACATGATACCATGTAAATTACTTTCTTGTCCCAATAATGTACATTGCAGAAGAATCTTGAATAGATTCAGCCAACAGTGAATTTTCTGAAAAGATATCCAAATATTCGGGGTTTTGAGGTCTTCTGAAGCGAATCTTGAGGATTAATTTATATTTGTAATGTTATTACTTATTTTCTCATCCCACAAAGTTCCATCAACTTCTTCCGATTTAATATTCAACCAGCTATTAGTGGAATTGACTCTTAACCTGAGATCAAAGCGGACAGTAAATCCCGGAGACGAGAAGCTAATGAACGCTTTGAAGTCGAATTACTGGTGGAATTATTTAGAAAAAAATAAAACTACTTGATCAGAAAACCCTGTAGATCTAGAGTCGAATTAAATGAAAGAATCTGTTGGGCAATTAATGAATAATAAATTAATAATAAACGAAACCGATCGTTAATTCGAAATTACGATTTTCGATAATTTTTCTGGGAATTTTTACTGGATTATTATTGTAATTTTAATTGAATTATTCCTTCGGTGTAATGCGGGATGTAATGAGTAATAATTGTAAGAAAGTTTTCTTAGCGATTAGGATGAAGGATAATATGATTTTGCGTCCACTTCCTTCTCATTATGCGGTGGAGGATGAGGCATTTGATAATATTGACAAGTCGATTCATTCCACTAGTTCCTGCAGTATATATTTGCTCAATTCCACTTAGCTTCTCCCTCCGGGGATAAAAATCGACTCGACACGAGGAGTAACAGGACGATGCTCTCAGGGTAATCATGATTCAGTTCACCACCGACAGTGCCAGCACCAGCCAAGAGGTATCTTTCCAAGGTTTGCTCTAGGTACACGTCATCCAGAAGAGTTCTATATCCTGGATTACCAATTGTGATTTATTAGAGAGTCTTCTCGGGACAGTTAAGTCAGTCGGGTGAACGTTTTCCTGTTACGTTAACGATCGGATTGATGTGATTGACTATTAGTAATCGTCTTATGCAATTTCCAGTGATTACAAACGCATTATCACGAATGATTAATTCTGATTAATCTAATTATTTCATTGTGGATAATGTTATGTAAATTGTTGATTTTATGTGTCTATGGTCAGGGAATCATACAATGTAATAAAAATATTGAAGAGAATGAAGAAGAAACGCGTCGTTATCGATAAAGTGTGCTGTCAGGAATATAATTGGAGGATTGCGGGTAAATTTCGGTCTGATGAGAAGTTATGGGAGAGGATGGGGTGGCGATACACAGGGGTGTAAGCCCCTCAATTCACTGGAGCGATAAGTCAAACGTCGGAAAACGGAAAGTGAAGCGTAAGACCCTCAACACTCCTTTTATCGTAATGATCCTGAAAGATGATAACTAATCATCATACTCTTCTGCAGGATATGAAACTGTTATCAGGCGTATTGTTGCGAGATATATTTCACTTCCAGCTGCTGAAGATGAAATGTTATAAATGGTGGGTTCACCACTTTTTTCATTTTCAAATACCAGTTTATTATTTCTGCAGCATGTGGTGAGGAAAGAGGAAATCCTCTTCACGAGTTTCTTCTCGTGCTGAAATATGAACGGAGATCATACCTTTTTTAGATGTGTCTAATATCATTTGAGGTGAATTTTTTAGTTAGTGCTTCGCCTCAAATTTTCGCTGGACGGTACTGGTCATCCGGAGATATTAAAGTTATTTAATTATTTAGTGTTTTTTGAAAGGGCATCAATTAAGAATATGCGATGTAATATGATCAGGTAATGATCTGGATAAGTGCCAGCTCGTTAAATAATTCACACTGGATAGAAATGAGTTTATCGATTTTTTAAATTGTATGAATAATAAATCCTGCTGTGATGAAATATAATTGACGATTTTTTTAATATTTCGGATATTCAATTCATTGTCAAAAAAACGAATTTCGAAATTGAATTTGAATTTTCTTTTTTTCGTAACATATAAAAATTAATAATGAAAATTGATAATTTTATGATAAAAAAAGGAAAATATTGAAGACATTCATCAAAAAGAATAATTTTTAACGTTTAGGTTTTGGAATTTATCGCTTTTGTCGTTACACTGTAGCTCACCGTCATTATTTCGGAGATATCATCACTAAAACTGGGTGACATCAGTTTACTCCGTTCTTTTAACGAACTTGCACGTTTGTTTCTAGAACTGACACCGCCACTCACAGATGCAGCGAGCGAAATTGAAGGAGTCAAGGAAGAATATACTCCGAAGAGTTTTCTCAGTACGTTGAAAGGAAGTTGAGTGAAGTGCTTGCTCCTCAGTCTGGCACTTCTTGACCCCTTGATACTTCGTTGCTATGAGAGGTGATGGGTTTATACTGCTCTGTGCATCATCTTTCAACTCCTTTGCCATGTCAGTAAGTAGTTTCATGTCAAGGGCCCATATTAAAATAGATCCTGATTTTTTTACCATCCGAGGAGCAAATTACTCTGTTCTGATTAGAGAATAGTTTGTGACAATTCAATTCCTGACGATTGGACGAAAAAAAAACCGTGGGAAAAAAATGGTACTTTTCAATTTCCCAGGATAGTAAATTCCGATTAACCGAAAAAATTGACGAAATATGTTAATCAGAAGGTCATTCATTTCCCTGAAGTCACTAAAAATATTCCACTACGATTATCAGTGGAAATATTTCATATTCACAATTCCTGAAGTACTTGGAAAAATGTTACATGTGAAAAATGAGATTGTCCGAATAGTACAAATGCGACAGGTTCATCGGGGTTTCATCATTTTGAAGATTCACGCACAGAAAAGTAAAAATATTGATTAGAGTACCTCACCCAAAAACGCAAACTGATTATTCTCATTATCAAATCTTGTTGCTGAAATAAAATATAACCGCGCATGCATCACTCACCTCGGAATTTGAAGAGCAATCTCGTCGAGGGAATCGCTTGGCTGCAAAGGTGCCCTCTCAAACAGTTTGCTCGGACCTCGATGAACTTTCGTGCAGCACTGCATAGATCCTGCAGTAGGTTGTGATTGGTCCCCACAATTGGTCCCACGTTGGCCACCCTGCGTTGTCCCCCGACGCTCGCGTTTTTTTCGCGCCTCCTCCGCCTGTCGTCGCAAGTTGTGAAGACGAAAGAAGAACACCGACATGTCTGCTCCCACCAGATCACTCAATTACTTGTGATTTCAGGTGATAAATCATGTAGTTTTTCTGGATTATGGTCAATGGCTCATGCTTAAAGCGATGATCATAATAGCACGAATCAACAGCACATGCGACATGTTGGGTTTATGATGCTTGCAGCGGAGGGAATCAAACTCTAATAGGAATAGCAGTCTTCACATGCAGCAATGGTGCAGCCTGTCGTTATTTCATTTAAATGCCAAAACATGTAGTGGATGCCGTGACAGTCGATGCATGCAAGAACAAACGCGCGGCCATTAAATTCGCTGGGTTTGCTACATGATGCAATTTCCTTGGAAATACCCTCCTGTGGTCTCTCAACATGACACCTCGCTGAAATTGTACTGGTCTTTTTACGTTTTGATGAAAAGGCTTCTCTGCACGGAGAGAAATATCCACGAAAAAACTCTGGTCTCACCAATAAATGTGGGATATTTCACTGGATTGATGGAAGGTCATGTGTAATGCATCAAAAATCACTCGAGTTATGTCGAATATTTACTACGCAAAGCAATAAAATTTACTACTGTGATCATAAATTTTTTCTGGAGTTGATTTAATTATTCAGAATGTACTGGTAAAATAGTGAAATATTCGTGGAAGCAGTGGAAATTTTACTGGACTGGCCATTACTTTTTCAGTGACTGATGCCACACTTCGTCCAATACCGTCCACCTTCGGGAGTTTTCGGACAGCACATGATTGGTTACTCGCGCTGGCCCACTACCCAATAAATTAACGGAGATACGAGTTAGAAAATTTTACTCGAACTGAACATTTATATTTGGAGCTAGGTCGCAATGCTCCAGTCCGCTAATTTGCAAATCGATATCTGTACGAGTTTTTGATAGAAATTTCTCTCCGTGTGATTTTTCTATCGGAGGGTCGGAATAATAATTCAGTTGGGGAAATTCGATTCGATTGGACGAGGGAAATTTACTTCACACTTTCCGCAGAGGGAGCTGCAGGGCGATGAACTCTCCAATATCCTTGATGAGTTTATGATAGAACGACGAATTATTTTCTACTTGAAAGTAAAGAGATTGGAGATTAAGAAATTGGATTTCTCCTTGTATCACTCGGGACAGAATTCCTCGCGGAAATTGAAAGAGATTGGAGCAGTAATTCGAGGAGATTGAGATAGAACAGATTAAGATGAACATCAGGTCTTTTATTAGAAATTGACCATGTGCGAAAATTTAATCAGTCGACCAAGTCCTTACATCAGATACATGAGGTCCAAAATTTCACCAAAATTATTCACCCCATCCGAATATTGTGTTAAATCACTTTATCCCCGAATATAAAAAACTTTTAATTGGATTCGTCTACAGTTTCCTCTACACCCGAACGAAATTGGTGGATCGATATGGGGTTGCCTGGAAAATATGAATTTTCCATAAACCTTCTGCCTTCCCACCGTAATTATCGATTCAGCACTAATTTTTGAATCCATTGCAATTAAAATCAGTCAATAAGTATCGTCGAAGCTCTCCAAACTCTCAGCAAGCCATAATTCCTGTCAGAAATTGCTCGTTAATAAATTTTTAATGACCAGCAACCGACGGAAACTTCACGAAATCAAGAACACGCCAGCAGAAAAAATCTGTTATCAATTTCCAGATAAAATCTTCTTCCATTAATTCTCTATTGAATCTCGAATTCTACTGTGTGGCATCACGAATAATCTGAAATAGAATGGAGAGTGGGTTGACAAACAGAAACATTTATACAACCCATTTGAGAAGATAGATGTTTTATTCATGGAAGCGAGATTTCGCGATTAAATTTTTCTTGGACGAGTGAAACTTTACAGGATTTAACGACACACAGAGGATTCTGGGATTGGATTGTCCTAGCTGTGGCCACTGTTAAACGTCATCTGAGGATATTCTGTGTAGATGTGACCCCATTTCATGTGATACAATTTCAAATATCAGTGTGCGTGGATATAGTCGCTGGAGGCTCTCATACCTGTCGTCAAACTATTTTGTTTCCTTCCTTCAGACCCATTGCTTTCTCACCGGTCGTTCGCTTCCGTCGATTACCTGATGTTTAGCTCATCTTCCGTTTATGATCTGCAATATGGGGTTATTCGCAATATGGATTTAAATATTTCAACCAAATAAGTTGAAGAAGAATTTACATTCATTCACAACAACGTGCATCCCCAACAGATGGATGATTGTTCTGATGAAATAATCTCGGTTTAAGAGATCATTGTCGGTTTAATCAAAAGTCTGTACATCGCCAGAAATTTATGTGACGCAGCTGTGCTCAGCAAAAAAATCTCCTGCGAATAATATTTACTACACGTAAATGCATTTGTACTTTTTTCTCAAAATGTAATTATGAAATTAAATGAAAAGTTAATTGCGTTTATCTGTGACTTCCCGAAGACTCACCGTAAAAACACTTTACCCAAATTATTATCATTTTCCCAATTATTATTTTCTCGTAATGAATGAATTCTGATTAATTGAATTCTAGAAAAATTTTTAATATTTGCCAGAAACCCTGAAATTATTATATAATTAATTTATTGTTCTTGAAACAATTACTCCTCAAGTCAGAGACACTTGTTAAAATTTCAGATTCTACGTCCGAGAGAATAAGTTTCTACTTATTATGTTTAAGCACAATACCGTTTATTTGGCATGATAAATTTTTTTCTCGGGGCTGCTTTCGGATTCAACATTCTTTTTAGAGGTTTTTCTTGAATTAATGCGATGAATGATCCCAGGAAGGCTTCACCTTTTGAAACGTCAAGGGCGTTCTAAACAAAATATTCAAAAGAAAGCCAGAGGGGTGAAAAAAAATAGCAAACATTGAAAGGTGGACTGACCCTTCAGAGGAACCTTTTTAATGAGAAATATGATGCCAGGCTGGACTGTGGAACCTGGGGTACACGCTGTTTTGTAATTACGATAACTGAGAGTACTGTTTTCAGAGAATGAATAAACAGAGATTTCAGAAGGCACAATGTAGGTAATAATCACACTCCTCTTTGAATTCAAGACAGAACTTCTGCTCTTCGTACTTTACGGAAATTTCATTGAAAGCTAATTTGACGTTGACATGGAAATTTTAATGAATTTCCGCTCAAATTGTATGCGAAATTCTTTCCATCAATTCTCGTTTTTAATTCTTTATTTCATAGATAATTTAACCTGCGAAAAATTATTTTAAAATGATTTTTTTTTTGCTATATTTTTACAAAAATTTTATAATAAAATTTCTCTCCCATTTTATCAATACTTCCGCATTTTCTTTTTATTGAGAATTCACGAATTATCGCAATCTCCGAAAAATGAGAATATGAAATTTCAATTCCACTTTTAAAATTTGAATTACTCGATTGAAATAAAATTCGTTTGAAACGTCACTTCCACCTTTATGATTTCAGACTTGATTGTTTAGTTATTTTCTAACAAAGATGCACACATGTTTGGGTGAAATATAAAATATATTTGATTCAAGTATAAATTCTTTCTCACTCGAAATTCTCCTCCCGATAGTGAGCAACTCCGAAATTCCCAAAGTCTGATAAAACCCCGGGGATAATATCCCACAAAGTTATCCGCGGTTTTTCCTCAATTCTCCAGAGAAGTGCCTCCAGGTGGTGGATCGATCTGAAGGGACGGTGAGAGCAATCAACGCCAGCCCTGTGGTATTATGCAATCTTAATTAAATCACTGGTACTGGGAACAAGTGCCAGCGTCGTCAGATGACCTCTGGACAATCGAGAAGATATCTCCTGGGATTTAAATTCTTCCTGCAAGAAATTGTTTGTGACTATTCCCAGAAAAAAAAAAAACCAGACCAGCTGGATAATTTCACGCCTTGCAATTTTCCCGAGGAGCAATTCAATTTTCACAATCATTTATCTAGTGGTGTTCCTCAGGAGAAATGAGAACCCCTGAATGGCATCAGATGTCCTCGCGTTTACCACCAAATGAACACTTTATTAATGGATAAATAAAATAGAATTAATGGATTATTTCGATGCTTTCAGGAGGGAAAGTTTTTCCCATAAAGATTCTCACAGATACACAACACGAGGGGAAACTTCATCGAACGCTTATTCCACTCGATAAACTGACAATAGTGCAATCATCAATGGAAGAAGAGAAGACAATTTCATTAGGA